TCAAAATTCCCCCCAAAAAAGTTTATTTAGTAACCTCAAACTAATTTTTAGATCTTATTTCAGTTTCTATCTTCGTGTCATGCTCCTTTTGATAATACTCAATAATATACATCATTGCTTAGCAATAAAACTAACACAATACTGTTGTTAGGACATTGTAAAATGTTGTTTATGTTGAATACGTAATGTACATGTTAATTTGCATTATTGTTTTTTCTCTCTCTTCTTAATACCTTCAGTGATATAAAAGCAAGTAGTTAAATTCAGAAATTTCTTCTTAAATTATTGTTGGGAAGTTTAAAATCAATCAATCAAACAAATACATTACTATTTCAGACAAATGTGGTAACTTACTTATGGATGCAGAAGAGCTAAAGGAAAAGGTTTTTCCTAATATTTTTTCAAAATTATGAATGGTTGTGTAAAAGAGCAATTTTTGCACATCAAAATGATACTGTTCATGAGATAAAAGATCAATTATTGCAAAAGGTTTCCGAACATGAATTCACCTACAGATCAACTGTCAGTGTTCCAGTTACAGATGATGCTGTAAATAACCCAACTGAAATGTTAAATTCACTTGAACCACCAGAGATGCCAGGACACATTCTGAAATTAAAGGTTGATTCACCAATAATGTTGGATCTCACTAAAACCTAGTTATATTGTTAGGAGAAGGAACAACAGCCTACATGCTATATCAAGAAGCTTTAATTTAGATTATGTAATTTTGTTTAGAAAATCAAAGATTTAGTTAAAAATTAAAATGTTTTGAAAAATTGAGTTTTTTAAATAAATGTTCTTAAAAGTAATTTCACTGTGTTTTTAAATATCTATTTCAATTACTTTGAACAAATGTGCAAGGAACAGGTAATTCAGCTAGTACTAAGTGTCTGCATACCATACAGTTACTTGAAGTTAGTCTTTCTAAGCCTGATTACTGGTATCAACCTGTGTCCAACAATACTAATATCTTAAAAAACATAGTATTGCTAGCACATAAACAATTACCTTGGATCATTAGCATCCTATACAATGTCAGCAAAAACTTTTTCAGAACATTTTTCACAGTGAAGGATAAAAATATTTAATGAAAAACATTGAAAAAGTACTTAATAAATTATTCTGATCACAAAGAAGTGTTTTAACTATTTTGCAGAATTTCCACTTATTAAATTTTAGTTTTTCCTGTTAATAATGAAACATTATTCAAGAAAAATCTCTCAGATTTTTTAATGTGAAACTATCACTCCTTGAAAAGAATTAGAAAAAATAACACTGCTGGGAGAAAGAAGGCCAAAAGCCTGAAAGTTAAATTCATGTCTAGTGTCAAATATGGAAGTTTGAATGTTATTATTTGAAGAAAAAACTTGAGATTCAGGTAATTTGCAGGAAATTTAATATTTGTAATAAATTGTAGAACTAATTCATAGCAGGAAATTGGATAATAGTTGAATCATTAACAAATTAAGTTACCAATATGATGGAAAGTAAAACCATATTTTTCAGAAGAAAAACACCACATTATGAACAAAGCTTCATAGAAAAATAGATATACACTAAAAACATTTGTTCAATACACAGCACATAGTGATGCCAACTTCTTGTATAAATTCTGATTACTGGAAGTAATATATGTTTTGGAAATGCAAAAATTAAAACTTTTATTAGAGATCTTTCGTGAAACTAAATTTTGGCATCACTGTAACAACACTCAAAAGTTAACATTTTTCTTACTTGAAAACATATTTCTGATAGATACTCACCTCTCACACTGAAAGCTATCTTCCTAATGCATCTCCCTTAGAGATTTGTATGCTGTGGAGGAGGGTTAGATATGTTAAAGTGTGCACTGACGCAACTGGACAGTCATCCCTTGCAGAAAGAGGGCATGATTCGTATGTTAGTGTTCTCCTCAACTCAACTGAATAGGAGGTGATTACATGTTGGAGGAAAGTTCCAACCATTTCACCTCTGGACCAGGAAGCAGAAAAGAAAAGCAACTTCCATTCTGACAACCCAGGCAGGACACAAGTGCAGACTCAGTTCACAACCAAAATCAGGTAGCATTAGGAATTTTTTGTCTGGTCAGTTGTTGAGAAGGATCCCTACCAACCACATGCGAGGACTTATGTTGGCTGGTCCTACATCTATCCAACACCAGACCACCTGAAAACCAATATCTGGCAGTGGTAAGATGGGAGACGATGGCATGTTGTTGGTATAATTATATGAGGGGTGACCTATGCTACACTGACAATGTCACCACCACCACTCCACATCCTACTGATTGGCATCCTTTGTTTAGCTCTCAACTGTTAGGTTCCAATCAGTGAGGGTTCTCCATGGTCCACCACCCCAGCAGCTAGGAACTGGTAAATGGTAAGGATCTCCCTTGCTCCAGTCAAAGAAAAGGGGGGAGAAATTCACAGTAGGGAGAACTGGAGAAAATGTATGAATCCCAATCAGTCCTTCAACTGGAAAGGTCATTTACTGGAGACAGTGTAATGGGTGACTGCATAAAAAACAAGCAGAGCTTCCATGGTTGCTACTTGTTTCCATTGGTTGCTGAACAAGATAATTCAATCTGGCATCTGAACCACTTCACATCACTTTGTCACACACTCCCTTTGCTTTCTGGCTGTCTCATCTCCCAAGGGTCACTGCCTGCCTCCATTCACCATCCTACAATATACCCAACTTCTTATAACCTTTGGCTTGTATCATTTGCTTCCAGGAACCCATCTGGTGGCTGGTGATGCCTCCCATGGTACATTTATTTCCTGAAATTCTGCATCAAGCCAGGATAACAGAGAGCACTCATAGCATCTGCCCTGGCTCCCTAATGTCTACTGTTGAGATGGGGGGATTTGCAAATCCACTTGAGGTATCATCATGGTATAGTCTAATATTTGTTTACTATCTGATTCAAACTGTGCCTCTTCCATGGATTGTCGTTGAAAAGCTAGCAGAGAAGAGAGAGGTGATGAATTTGATTAGACAAAAATGTGGACCATCTGTGAGCAAAAACCTCTAATGAGGAGGAGACCAAATGAAGAATTTGGTGAACTGTAACAAGAAAGACAGAAGGAGATTTGTCCCTAGAGGAAGAGGAATCCCAGGAAATGTAGATTGGACAACAGAAACCTGAAAATGAGAGGAACAAGTTAAGTAGCAACAAACAGCACAAACAGAGCAGAAAAGTCTGCCCAGAACCAAACAAGTGTAGAAGAGTGAAATATACAAAATGGGAAAGAAGAGAAGAGGTCTTCTCCCTGATCAAAGACTGAGGGAGGATCAGTCTGGAGAAAAAAGAATACTTGGAAGATGGAAAGGGTACAAGATGAGTCACTGGCCAGGTAGAAGAGGAAGTTGATAATCAAAAGATGGGAACCAGAGACTAAGACATATGAAAGTGAGAACTGATAACAGGCAGCCTCAGCCCATGTTTCATTCAAATGAGAAATACCTCGAATTTTCAGGGCAAAGAAATGGGCTAGGGGAAGAGCTCAAAGAAGGAAAGAAAGAAGTTGAACTTGAGATAGTAAAGGATCCATACTCAACAAGCCTCCAGGAACAAGGAAGTGAGTGAAAAGGGAACAACTAAAGTAGAATGACCACAGTGGAGGAGTTAAGAGAAGAAGAATCACCCACAAATTTCACTGGGGCACCATGGAGTGCTTCAGGCAGGAGGTGCAGAAAGAAGAGGTAAAGAAGTGTGGTAAAAAGGATAAGGAAAAGACAGAATTAGTGGATACTGGAGGGCAAAACTGATGCCAATAGTATGCCTCCTGCCCACAGGTAAAGGCAATCCCAAATATGAGAATCATGTAAAGTAATGGAGAAAGACTAAAATTGAGGAAATGAGAATCAAATAGATGGGAAGAGTGAAGCTTGATGTGACAGAAACGTATGTGGTCCAGGAATGGTAAACAAAATGAATTAGGGTTAGGATTAAAAAGTTGGGAACAAGAAAAAATATAACACAGTGGAAATAAAAGGAATGGTGCTGAAGAATGTGAGAAAGTTGAAGTAGCTTTTTCACAGGAAGAGAAGTTCCCAAAGCTTAAGCAGATGAAGGAACAATCAAATTTGTCCACTTCATTCACTCCACAATTGAGAGAAAGGAACACCTGAAGGGACTGGAGCTGAAGTTCCTGGCACCATAACAAAACCCACTACCCTATTCCCAATGGCTGCCACATCATCCCGGGGAACAGGCCTCCATAAGCCATAATTGTTATACAAACTGTGTGAGGAAAGTAGTCACTCACGCAAGTAGTAGAAAACGTTACATGAATGAGTGTTCATAGTTAAAAGAAATAAAGAAGGAAATTAAGTTCTTTAAACATCACGAATCTCATTAAATTGACAAAGAAAAAACACATGATATGTTCAGTGTCAAAGAATAGAATGAAGATCATGAGTGCAAAATCATAGAGGGAGTTAGGGTGCAAGGAGGCTGTGTCACCCTCCTATTGGTGGAGGGCTTTTGCTGCATAATAATATAATTATGCAGTAGTGCAATTCACGTGAAATCTTGTGTGTTTAAGTGGGAGTTGCCTGTAATTTAGTGCTGTCAGTTGACATATTCTATTTTTTAGAAGCTTTAAGTAAGTATACATTATACATTTTAACATTTGGCATAAATTAGTTAGAATATATTACATTTATTAGAAGTTTAGGATAATTTTTTTTTACAAATAAATTCAAAATTACAATGAGATTTATCAATAACAATAATAATTGTAAAGTTTTCCTGAAGTTTCATCATTTATCTTTAGAAAATATAAATTTTTCAGTTTTTATTTTCATAAATTAATAAATGAACAGCCAGACTATCAATAGCAAAATGTTTCCAATAAAAACAATAGCAAGAATAGTAATATTTATACCTATTTATAATAATAAAAGCTTATACTAGTGACATGTATAGAGTTTTATGTTTCTAATTGACAACATTAAGTAAACAATTCAAAAGTTAGTTAAAAGCTACTAACACTTTTCTTGTGTGTGGTATTCCATATTCTCGGGGAAAGTCCAAGCCTGGATTTTCTTTGTTGATCCTTTTTGGAAGTTTAACTTGTGTTGCATCCCAAACTAATGCTTCCATTATTGATCGCTGCACAAGGTCATTGTCAGTCATTTCTAGAGCAATAGGTAGCAAGTTCTTAACATTCAGTGGCAAACCACTGTATGATATTGTTTTTGTAAGATGCAAGATGTGTTTTTCTCCTGGTGAGGGGTAAATAATTAACACAATATTATCTTTGTTTAACACTGAAACAGTCTAACTTACAATTTAATGAAAATTACAAGTAACTGCAATGTTTATGTAAATGTTATGATCACCACCACATCCAGTATGAAACACTATTTAGCTAGATCTTAATTTATTTGAATTCTAATTACTTTTTTGTAAAAATAAAATTTCATTTCTAAAGGAAATCTGTCTTTCGGTCAAAGTCTTTGGTACTCATTGTGAGCACGTGACATTTTCTACAACTCTGTTCTTAACTATATGAGAATAAATTTAATTGATAAAGTCAGAATGTAAAACCACTAAGTCTAACTCATTACTCTATACTTTCTGTGGGTTAATGTTACCATTATCAAACTGAAATACAATTAAGAATCCAACAGTTTAACATGTTAATACTAAAATATTAGCAATGGTTTCAGAAATGAAAATAGCCTTAAATACTGGCTTCTTATAACTTGAACTACACTAAATCTAAAATACTTGATAAAAAGTTCCAAAGATATTTTTGATTAATTAAAAGATGTTAACATTTTCTTACCCTTAAAATGTATTTCTGATAGATTCTAACCTCCCCTCACAGAATAGCTTTTCCAAACTTGTACTGCCCTCTAAATGCAAACATTTTGCTCACCACTAGCATTGATACTACCACTTTCCCTTACCTGTTTTCACGTGAGGCAACTGCATGATAGCATGCAAATGAGCATGTATCAACCCTTCACCAACAGGAGTGACACCACTCCTAGCACAGTTGGTTCCCTCTATGCATCTCTTGAAACTATAATTAACTGGTGCAACAACTGTAGAATAACTCTTAACCAACTCAAAATGAGAGGAATTATATTTCGACATAGCATTAACAAACATTTCAAAAATGTTAAAAAAGTAAAACTCAAATTAAACAATACTAAAATAAAAACATGCCCGCAGCCAAGTTTCTGGACATAACCTTCAACAGCCATTTGACATGAGGTGAAAATTTCAAGCACATACACAAATCCATCAGCAAATGTATTGCACATTTAAGTTTAATTGCAGGAAGAAACAAAGGTTGCTAACTACAAACAATAATAAAAATCTACTCAGCTTACATATGTCCCCTAATAAAGTAAGGGTGCCAAGTCACCTTCAACATGTCCAGCAGAATTAATAAAAAGTTACAACTTCAACAGAACAGAGTTCTTAAACTAGTCATAAGATTACAAAAATTTACCCCAACAAGTTACTTACACAAAGCATGCAATACACAAACAATAAAAGAAAGACTAACATCCTTAGCTTTTAATTATAATAAAGCAGAAAAAAGAAACCCCCTAACTGCCACCCTTCACACAATGAGAAGCTCATCATACAAAACAATGTCCCCATACAATGAACACTTAGCCATGAAAGAAAATCAAAAAACACCCCAAAGTTCTTTTAATCCATTTATGTTCTTTCATTTTCAGCTCTGGGCAAAGGACAGGTAGACTATTTGGCACCTGTCCTGTGAAAGTGGGTTTTCTCAGGGATCTCCCATTTCTCCCCATAACAAATTTCCCTGTACACTTGAATTTTCTGATCCCAGCCACTAGGTGACCCTGTTAACAGGACATTCATAGAGATATAGTTTGTCGAACACTGTCGTCTTGCTTCTTCTCATCAGTGTTGTCATAATCATCAGCCTTGGTTTTTCTCTGCCTCACGATCCACGATCCATCTGCCAAGTCTCTCTGCCAATAAATACCAACTATCTCTAAAATTATCTTTAACCCCATGACCTTATCAAAACTCTGCCTTTACGCGAGCAAGGTGAAGGGGGATAATAATATCCCTGAACACCCTAGCTTAGGAAGGTGTAAGATCTTTCCTTTAAAATATAAATACCTGCCATGATTTTTTTTTCTTTTTTAGGAGGTTGAGACAAACAGAAAGCCAATGCAGAAAGGAAGGTGTGCAAATGCAGACTCAACTCTGGTCTCCAACTAGTCAGAAAGACCTCCAAACACATCTTGCCTTTGAAAGGGAGCCATGTGCAAGTCCTGTAAGGAGGTTGGGGTACATGCACAGGGGACAAACGGACATCCTGACCAAAGAGATCCCAACAACAGATGAGCCATGTGTGTAGGGAGAGAGCAGAAGAGGACAAGCATGCAACCATAGAAAAAAACAGGGCACAAGTCTCCAGCAAAAACCCCTCAGGGGAAAGATGAAGAGCCTCAGACAGAAGGTGAATCAAGGAAAGGGAATGAAAGAGGAAGGGTAAGGTGAGGTGAATATGGGAAAATGGAAGTTATGAAAACTGTACCAAAGTATTGGAAGTGAACCCCACAGAGGAAGAAAAGAATCCAACTGCTGGAAGTCCAAAAAAAAGGAAATGTAGACCTATGGTAAGCCATAATATGGGCTTCCATATTACATGAGAGTTGAGGCATACTGACCCCCACATATAATTGGCTCACAAACCCATCAGCAGGAACTTCAATATACAGCAAGGGAGGGGAGAACAAGATATCGGCTCAAAGGTGTCTCACTTAAAATGGAAGGGGATGAGTCTGGTCTTCTTCTCGGCCTTTCCTCTCACTTGATCCAGCAACACATGCAAGCAAATTAAGAATCATGACAGTAATAGGCAAGTCCCCCAAGTTTTAACCAACATATGTGCTTCAACTACCGTGTAAGCCAAGCAAGGGGCGAAGAGAAATTCATCATATTTCTGACCTATCAGGATTGGATTGAAAATGAGCAACAAAGATAAAACATAACTCAAAGAAAGGAGAAAGAAGCCTGGGCACTTCCACTGGACCTAAATGTGACTGTATGGCATAGGAAGGGAGAGAAAACAGGCTGTCAAAATCATTGTACACCTGAACAAGGCATGATAAGATAATTCTCAGGCAAATCAGGAGCCCACATAAAGGTAGCCAACTCCCAGCGAACCAAGGCCGTAACGTCTTCTGCTGACAATTGTGTACCCAAAATCACTGTAGTTGAAGTAAGTGTTACAACAGTGGAAGTCACATGATGCTGCTGGCGCATGTGTGACTGAGTTTCTCGAATTATTGGGGAAGTCTGCAAATTTTGGAGATGCCTCTTCGTTAGTATATAAGCCTGGCAGAGAAAAGCCAGGGGATGATAAAGCGAACAGTAGTTACGGTAAGTTTCAGGTAACTTATTATTTTGTTTCGAGCTAGTGTGTGTTTTGCACTCGTAGAGAGCGAAGTTATCGAGATTGTGAATCACTGTGATTTATAGCGTATCTTATAAAAGTTGTTAAGTTTAAAGTGACGAGAAACATTCTGACTGTGGAATTACTGTGTACTTAAAGTTTGTATCGAGAAAGAATAAAGTGGTTTAATCAAGAAAGTACTTGTATCGCTGAAGTTCCTCAGAAAGAATTTCTACCGTAAATTAACAAACAAGCAGATACGTAACATAAGGTTAACTGTCATAAAATCAGCAGTGTAGTAGGTGTAACATAAAAATCAGAATTCCTTGAAACTAAAGAGTGGAAGTAGAAAACTCCAAACAGAGAGCTCCAAAGAATCAGAAATCAGAAGAAAAGACACAAAATACTAACGTGGACAAACTAAAATACCAGAACACAAGTGTAACAAAGATAAAGAAAAACCAAGTTCCCAAAAAAACAAACAAGGAACTGTTGAAAATTCTGTAAATGAAAGCACAAACAAAAAACATGTCTTAATACCACAAGTGCCAATTGAGAAGTGAAGTTGGGCCAAGCTGTGCTGGGAGTTGTGTCTCACTTCTATTGTGGAGGGTTGTCACATGCTCATTTCCAGACTGTCTAGTTTTTTACCTTTTCCACAGATATGTGCAAAATGTTATATTTCACTGTGTTCACCATTTCATCTGTTATAATACGATGGGTGATCCCACTATTAGCTGGTGAAAAAGTAGTTGACTAGCTTCCTTCTCTCTGGTTTATTAGTTCAAAATTAGGGAATAAAGAAACAAACAAGTCTAAGAAATTTAGAAAATCGTTAAAATGCTTACAATATATAGGTCCTTATCATAATAAAGTAATGCTGCAATTTCTAGTTGAATATCACTCAAAATTTAAATATTATAAATAACGTCTTTAGTTCTAAATTATATTCATTGAGATTCCAAGAGCTAGAATAGGAAATATTTGTGAAAAATGTAAAAACTTAGATAGTCTGGAAATTCTAGAAACAAATAGATGTCTAAGAACAAATCCAGAGAAAGTTCTAAATGATCAAACCAACTTAAGCTCCTCCCCAGTTCTCACCCCCACTTGTCTCTAGGTGAATTTGAAGGTCACTCTGGTTCTTTGTTTAAACATATATATATATAAATCCTGCTACAAAACATTTCCATCTGTATTTGATGATGCCTTTACAGGTCATAATAAATGATATATTTGTGAAATATACAATTGTCTTGTTTTTCTTCAATTTTGTAATTTGTCATAGTTTTCATGTTATAACTATTAGTAAGCAAATGTTAACGAAATTTGGCAGTTTATCAGTAAATATTACAATGCTCTCATATGCAAAATATCTAATTTTTTATTAAGTCTTAACGTTTTTAAAGCAATGTTTCTCTCATTCCTTTTTTTTTCTTTTCACATCTTGTCTATCTATCATGCAAAGTAATTTTCATCTTAACATTAAAAATATTTTTATGCATCAGAAAATTTCAAAATTTCACATGCAAAATCCTTATAATGTCCGAATAGTTATCAAACATTTCTTAAGAAAAAACTTTATGTTTTATTTTCTGTAATTAATCTCTGTAAGGGTTCAGTAAATTTGACTGATCTAGTAATACCATTAAAAATTAGGAGGTAAACATAAATTATGCATCTTTCATTCTAGAATGAACACAAATTATAATACAAAAACATAAATGTTTAGATGAAATAGCTTAAGTCTCATAAGATTAAAGCATTTATATATATATATGTATATATATTTCATATTCACCTTTTACCCATGCCTGGCTAACAATACAGAAGTTACAATGATGTGGCTCGCGTGCACTCAAATAACATAAAGGTGACCTTTGGTCAGTCAAAGTAACTTGTCTTGGCTGTGCTTTAGTCAACTAGTATTTTGTAAAATACAGTCACACTTCAATTACTATATAGTATATATGTATATATATTTCATATTCACCTTTTACCCATGCCTGGCTAACAATACAGAAGTTACAATGATGTGGCTCGCGTGCACTCAAATAACATAAAGG